GGAGCTTTTAGCCTTTATTTTATTGCTGCAGCTACCAGTGTCTTCCAGTTTGGGGGCTCGTCCTGTGGTATTGGGGTGGAAGTTGGAGGTTTGGACGGTCCGAGGTTGTCGAACGGACAGGCACGAGCCAGTGGTGTGACGTGAGTGGGCACAAGCTTATACAAAGGTAAGGCACTACCTGTTGAATCTATTTCCAAAGTGTGCCAAATTGGACATGATAAAATTAAAGTCTACTCACTGAAATTACTGGTAGATGTCTGTTTTGATTTTGATGAAAATCTGCCTCAGTCACACTCTTGTTTCGAGGAGTTGACTGCTGTTTCAAAGTGTTATAAATTATTATAGGACAGCAGTTAGAGGCTGCTAAGAAGCGCATAGCCCGGAGGTTACGCTCCCTCCTGGCCGTGGACCTGTCGGCGATCAGGGTTAGTTCAGTTTGGCTTAACTGTGGGGTACAGGGCATCCTGGAATAAGCTAGGAGTTAGAGGCTCCTTGCCGTGTTAAACGGTATCTGCGCTTTTTTGGACACTGTTAAATTGAGTTAGGGACTTTAGAGATTAGGCCAGATACAGTTAGAGGCTGATACTGGTTAATTGATTACAAAAAAGTTGGACTTTCTTCGGTTGGACCCAGAACACCAGAACAGGAAAGTAATGAACACAAACACACACAAACACACACATCTACATAAACTGACTCAGAATGAAGAGAAACACACATATGAACACATATGCACTCGTTGATTGAGTGAGAACTGACACACACACACACACGCTGAGTCAATTCACTGAGAAATGACACACACACATGCACACAAATCGAAATGGTGATTCAATTCACTGAGAAGTGATGAACACACACACACATGCACACGCTTGTGCAATGAAGAGTGATACACACACACGCTGATGCAATGAAGAACGCTTTACTAACAAATGCTGCACACAAACATCCAAATACAGAATCTGTCACAACAGCAAGAACCCATTGATTGTTTATTGGTTAAATGCATTTCATGTCACCCAGAGGGCATTTGTGTAGATTTAGGGGACAAGGTCTAAGGCAGTTTGGTTATGAAAACAATGTCTGTGTGTGATGCCTGTTTATGGCTTAAGGCCTCCACTGAATTGTTTACTGTGCTTCACATAGCCTGATAAGGAGCAGTGGTACAGAGTGAAAATGATGAATTAACGGTGTGAGCCTTATTTCGGAGCGCCACATTTTTGTGATTGAGATTTAATTGAAGGAGGAACACACTGAAAAAAGAAAAAAAAGAAAAAAGGGGCCAGCCCTTGGGTTTACGTAAGCATCTCGCATGTATTTAACACAATTGCCTCAGGCTTTAAAGATCTGTACGAAATCCAACAACTCAATTTGTTCTCATTGAGATGACACTATACAATCTAATAAGAGTGGTTAGTTGCTTAAGCTAATAGTGACCCAAGAGGTTTCCGGACTTTTTTAGAGAATCAGTGAGAAGCATAAATCATTATTTCCATGTTTAAGCATTAGTCATTGAAGTGAACTGAATAGCGTTTAGAAGATAAAATGCCTGTGTTCATGAGAAGCTGAGTACCACACTGGAGAGGAAACCGTGGGACAGTAGGCGGAAGCAAACACATGAATTTTGGGGGGGCAAATGTTAGGATTAAAAATGGCTAATTTGTTTTTGATGTCTTTTGTTAAAATGAGTGGTTTTAATAATTTCCAGACACACCTTGCAAATGTGCTTATAATGAGTTGGCGCTCGGTCTTTTGAAGGTCATAAGCTTCGTTCGGCGTGATGGTCCAGACTGATAAAGTGTAGGAAAATCCTTGAGTGCAGAGGGCTAAATGCAAACACGCTTACACACACATAGGATATGATTAGAATAAGTCCCTGGGACATTCTGAATAGTCTAAACCAATTCTGAATCACCAGAAGATCAGTAGATAACAACATTATATTATTAGGGCTAGGAAGAGAGGTGTTTTGGTTTTCTGTCTCTTACAGAGAAAGGAACAGGCACCAGACGAGGTCACAGATATACGAGGATCCTTCGCAGCAGAGACAGACACAGTGACTGCCGAGACACCAACTGGGTTCAAGTGTCATGGCGTTTGGGCTCTGATTAGTCACCTCAAAAGGATGGATCCCATAAACACAGCAATAACCATGAAGGGGTTGGCGGAAATCCAGGAACACCAGACCAACGAGGTTTGAGAGGCTCTTGGGCAAAAGGGGGACACGTTCCTGTTCCTTTTTCTGGAGGATACACAGGACACACAGGACCCGAGGATACACAGATCGTTGTTGGAAATCGGGGCAGAATAATCCCCTGATCTGTGTCACGGCTGAAGGGTTGTCTAACCCCTGAGGTTGAAGAAAGGAGAGCAGAGGATCACCCAACTGGAAGACACTGGTGGCTGCAGCAATAAAATAAAGGCTAAAAGCTCCTCGGACAGAGGTTCTAGTCTGAGTACGTCTGAAGGGTATAAGGTAGCACCAAAATAAAGCTGTGGAAGAACTGGGTAGTGTCATCTGTACCTGCTATTGTTGTAATAATAGTTTTTCTTGCATCTGAACTGCGCAAACACAGAGGTCATCTCACATATGGTTCGCCCAACAGGGGGACAAAGGACCTCAGGAGTGAGAAGAAATGAACCCGGCCACACTGGATTACAGGGTGTAGGTGAGCTCTTTATTCTAAAGAGCTCATCAGGGGAGTGTTGGATTATAATATTATTTTATGCCATGTTAGACCCCTAATTAAAGATTGTGAAATATTATGTAGTTTTAGTTTGCATTATTCTCCTGAATTAGAAGGTGATAACTATTGCCTTTGTTAAACTGATTTGCATTACATTAGACTGCTGATTTATTTTGAATGAATGATATTGTTTTATGATGCATTATACTGCTGAGTTATAAGAAATACTGTTCGCAGAAAGTCATCGCCTTATTTGTCTGATTAGAAGAGAACAGAACATACTGGAGTTTCTGCCCCATCTCAGCAGGAGCAGATAACAGGGAGCCAAGGTCGTAGCTTAGGCGCTGAGTGAGAGAAAGCATGTGATTGTTTAGGCTTTTATGATAAGGTGGGGGCCACTAGAGGCTATAAGAGTTTGATCAATGCTCCACCATTTTGAGATCTGATGCTGTCTGCGTACGGTGTCCATCTCCCACGCGTGTGATCATTAAAATCATCGTTTGACTCAACCCGGCCGGACCAGTGTTGTTATTGTGGTTTTTCCTCTTGTATCCACCCCCAATATCTGAATCCGTAACACACTTTTGCCCCAGTGTTAAATTAACACTAGAGAGTGTCTATATGGGTCCACACCTCTGAGTGTTAAATACAACACTGTTGAGTGTTAAATTAACACTTTTGACAGTGTTATATGTTTAAAAGTAACCTAGTCAGTTTTGAAGATTAACAATGGCTAACACTGAGCAGTGCTGATTTTCTAACACTGGAATATTTCTAACATTTTGAGTTATTTTCCAGTGTTAGAAAATCAGCACTGCTCAGAGAGACTGAGGAGGAGCTTCTTCCCGCAGGCGATACGATCTCTCAATCACACCACCACACAGTACTGACCCACACATATAGTTCTTACACACACACACTGGACATTCTGGACATTGTTTTCACTTCATCACTTAAATCACTTTAAGCATATTTGCACTGCACAAGACATAATGTGGATTGTACAACACTGGTCACTATATTCTTCATTTCCAGTTAATACTTGTACAGCTGCTGTTATTGTGCGTATATATATATTTATTTATTTATATTTCTTCATACATTCTTATATAGTTCTATACTGTGTATTGTGTATTTTGTTGTAGAGTTATTTTATTTTCAACTTTAATTTGTATATTTTATCTTATTCTTTCCCAGTTAAATTTACCCTTCATTCTAATTTGTGTTGTACAGTTATTTCATTTTTAACCTTAATTTTTTTATATTTTATTCCTTCCTAGTTAAATTTACATTTTTTAATTTTTCATATTTATTTCCTATCTTATTCATAGCTTTTTCCTTTTTTTTTTCTTTAGGTCACGAGCAGTTGTCTAAGCATTTCACTGCGTATCGTACTGTGTATGACTGTGTATGTGACAAATAAAATTTGAATTTGAATTTGAAAATTTTAATCTTCAAAACTGACTCGGTTACTTTTAAACATATAACACTGTCAGAAGTGTTAATTTAACACTCAACAGTGTTGTATTTAACACTCAGAGGTGTGGACCCATATAGACACTCTCTAGTGTTAATTTAACACTGGAGATTTTGCTGCGTGCTTTGTAGTAGCCAATAATGATGATCATCAGGCAACTTTATAAGCCTTGCCCCCTCTCTTTATGTAAAATAGCAAGACCAAAGCCTTCAGTTAACCGCCATTGTTTCACTCTTAGTTAGGCGGTTTTGCACAGTGATCAGAAATGACACGTTTTTATTCAACCTCATCAGTTTCTCTTGATGATCACATGAACTTTTGTCTTAGCACCTTAAAAACTGCATTCATACTAGCACACCAAATGCTCGCATGACGGATGAGACTGCGGGATGGATGGGAAAACTCCCTCACAGTGTTGACTGAAGTATCTTCTGTGTCTCAAACTCAACCATCCATGTGTGGACCGCCCCGTTTCCATCGCCCAGCCTTGATTGGTGCGCTCCCTACAGTAGATGATTTATCTGTTTCTTGATATTTAGATGAAAAAGCTATGACATATCTTTTAATTTGCTATTCTCTTAGTTTTGATTACTTTTATGCTATCTGACGCTCATATGGGACTCTTGTTACCAGCCAAAAAGATCCTTGATAAAGAAGCAGAGGGTACACCTCTAAGGCACACGGTCAAATTAGAGTTTTTTTCCCTCCTCCACTCTGTCTCATTCACTTTTTTTATGGGCCCCACCTCTTGACACTGACGAAATAACCGCGTGATTTAGGTAAAATTGAAGCTGTTCCGTGCCAGCATTTCACGGTCTCAGTCGCTGTGTGCCCATCATTCCAGAGCAGGACACTACAACTGCGGAGCATCAAGGGGAAGATAAGTGCTGCTTCCAATGTGGAACAGACCTATTTAGGCACTTTTTTACGCACGCATGTTGCGGACCGGGACTAATTCCGTATAAGGACGTAAATCTATTTTTGTACATTTTATGGAATAAAAATCATTTAAAGGTAAGTTTATTTCTGTTTGGATAGTTATCTTTGAATTAAGGAAGAATTGAGACAATTCTTTGCAAAATAACTGATTTCCTATTGTTGGGTTGTTGCTTTTTCAATGTGTATTTTGCTATAACATTAAACAAATATTAAATCAAATGAATGCAACTTTTAAGAACACAAGTCGTTTAAGACAAACACACGCGCCACGATGTTGTCCTCAGATAACCTGCACCGATGTGCAGATGTTTCTTGACGAGTAAGACAAACAATTCAGAAAAACGAGTCTGTGGACTGGAGATTACTCCGCAGTCAGTTGTTAGAAATTGGAGTGACCATGCCACCCATGTCATAATTTCTGTGGAGTGTCCAGAAGCAACAGGTGTTCCTGAGAAGAAGAACCGTCGCATAAAGTGTTGCTATTGCCAAAAGTGAGGTTTTGAATCAATAACTGTACTTAAAGCGGACGATTGTGCTTCATAGCAAGGGACATCCCTGAACTGCGCTCGAACTGTAAAAGCCTGCAACCAATTAGTTTCCCTGTGATGCTTCAGTATTGATCTGTGTTCGTTTTTCAGCTTTCTTAGAGAGAGAAAGAGGGTTTAAAAAACTTCAGCAATTACATCAAGTCATGCATGTCTTTGTGTAAATATGACTAAATTATTTCACGTTAAGCTAAGAGCAATATATCCTCCGTCGATATATGGTATTAAAATATTTTTAAAGTCTCATTTATTTTCCGTTAGAATGGTTCAATTGAATCGACGTGGAGCTCGTGGGAGTTAAAGGCGCAGACTGCCATCCTGCAGTATTTTAGAGGATGATCTTTTGAACCTGCCAGTTGCCATTAGTGCGAGATTGTCTCCCTTTGAAAACAAACAATACTAGTTTTCAGTTAGCACTGCGACCCACCGCATGTGTTTATACAGCGGGGTGCAAATGAGGGTGAGGGGCTCGGTGCTCCTGTCCTTCTGTCTCCACAAACTCACAACTCCGACCCCACAGGGAGTCTTACATCTGAACCCCCGAGACATACAAAGCTCAACATCTTAGTTAGAGACGAATAAAAGATCATGCTTGGTAATGTTAGATATTATAAACACAACGTATTAAACGTATTAAAATCACACTTTAGCCCGTTGGAACATCTGTTTTTTCATGTGGATATTTTGCGAATACACATGCTTAATAAATGGGGAGTATTTTTTTTCTCTACAGACCATAATGTTAGAAAAGTGCTTAAACAGACTTGTCTGTTATAACCTACTGTAGGAGTTGCATTTCTCCATAAGCCAAATGTGGATGCAATTAACATTTAAACTTTAAATTTCTTGCTTCCTAAGCTGCACTCCCTTTCCTTTTTTCTTCTTCTTTCCAACAGATGATACTGAATATAAAGCATGTCCTGTGGTTATATTGCCTCTGTGAAGCTGCAGCTGCAACAGGTAAGCTTTGAATGGGTTAGTTCTCCTCCCTTGTTTTTTAGTCACTCCTCTTTCTCCTGCTCCCTGGCTCCATGCCTAAGTTTTGGATTTTCTCTGTTTTTCTTTTTTTTAGTCACTCCCCACCCACATCCCTCCCTCCATTCTTCTCCCTGCCTCTGCCCTTTTTTCCCTTTGTATTCCTCTACTCTTCTTATAGCTCCAGAGCAACTGTTTAGCATGTTTGATAAGTTTCTTCCAGTCTTTGCTGTGTGAAACCTGCAAGACTCTACTTAGAGGTAGGTCAAGAGGAATTGAGGGTTACAATCTAGGACCTGCATACTACTTGTCCACATAGCTTTGTCTCTGTCTCTGGGTATGGGATGGACACCTTTCAATTAGACTCTGCTTCCAGTCTGGAAGCTGAACAGCTGGTTTCATCCCACATCCTAATAAGACCCTCTGTTGAAGCACACAGACTCACACCTCTTGGCCTGTCCGCACGGAGCATTCCTCCCATTATTCCCTGTGAATGCTTTTCTACCCCATCCAAAATAACTGTAATCATCTTATTGCCATTTGCATTTAGAACTTTATCTGACATGCAGAATACACATAATACTGTTCACTGACATACTTCTGTTTTTGTGGGTTTGCTTATTTAGTTTATCCTTTTTTTAAAAAAGCAGGAACATGCACAGAGCTTAGCAGCAAACTTTCATGAAATAATACAACCATGATGACTTTCCCTCTTTCCCTGATTATCTATAACTTGATGCAGACATGCTGCACATACACTGCCCTTGTGTTGAATATGTTCCCACACCCATCATTTTAAAGTTGAGGTTTAACTTTCCAAGAGTCAAGTCATAATGGATGCTTTTTTAAAGGCTTGGTGCAGTGGTCACACCCTATCAGTGCAAATGACTTGTGCATTTCATACTGTCTGGTTCGATCTGTTAGGATAAGAGTGAAAATTGAAGAGGAGATATGTGCATTTTGAATAAAATAAAACAATAAAGAAGGTTGCCATTAAAATAGAAACATTAAATGAACTTGCACTCCATCTAACTCTGGCCTTTTGCCTTTCAGCCTCAAATGCATTATCAGTCATCCAACCAGTCATAGGGTCCCTCTCAGGGAAGGTAAATCTTCCCTGCTACTTTTCCACAATCCCAACCTCAGCACCAGTCATCAGTCCCAGTGGAACAGTCGTTTACAACAAGGATTACTTGCGGATCAAATGGAGCAAAATACAGGGACGAACAGAGTCCACGGTGCTGGTGGCACAAAATGGGATCATCAAGCTAGGCTCAAGCTACAGGAACCGTGTATCAGTACCCAGCCACCCTGAAGTTGTCGGTGACGCCTCGCTCACAATTGTGAAGCTGCGTGCCAGTGACGCTGGCACTTATCGTTGCGAGGTCATGTTCGGGATTGAAGACACCCAGGATACTGTTAACCTTGATGTCAGCGGTAAGAGATTCCCAGTATCCTTCCTCTATTATGGTGGAATTAGACAAAAACTTTAAAATTGTAGAGGTGGGATGCTGCAAAACTTAATAATAGTGAAATGCCACACAAGTGCTGACAGAAATGTAAACAGGATGGGAAAGTTATGGGCGTCCTTTTACTTACATTGATAGCAGCAGCTAACCGTTAGTCATGCAGAGTAACCACAGCTTTTATTTTAGAGGTGACGCTCTCTTGAAAAAGAGTCAGATGACCTTTTTTTTGGTAATTTTCCATATCAGCCACAGCAGTGCCTTAGTTCCAGTGATTATCAGTTCATTATCCATTCAAACACAGTGCATTGCTGTAATATTGGGTGCCACCGTGTCAGTATAGATTTTTTATTTCATTTTACGGGCACACAGGAAGCGTTAGTATGTCTGTGGGAGGCAGTATTCTTCAGCATCCTAAAAATGATAGCGCCCTTATGCTGGTAGGGGATGTGGTGAGGTGGAGGGTGGGGTCATCAATCCTTACCTAGTGTCATGTGCATTCTACATGCTCTCATTTGAGAAGTACGCTGGGAGATATAACTCATGTAGAAAACATGGGTGGGGGGGGACACTCAGATAGTTTTGGTTTTCACTGGTTTACAATCTGCATAACCTCTTTTCCAACTCTCTGCAATGTTAATTATGACTATCAATCATATCTTTTGCGTCTATTTACTGTCCACAAATATGGGGATTTCAGGGCCATGGCATCATATGGAGTTCTCTCGTTTGTTTGTGGTGAACTGCATTTTGTGTCGCTCCTCCATTTATTGCAGAGATCCTTCTTTCCGAAGAAGCTGAGTGACCTAGTTATATCACACATAGAGGGTGCTTTATAGGACGTTTGCCATAATTTACAGCGCTGAAGTTAAACTAATGACTTCCAGATCACTCTATGCCTGAGTTTTTAATTTTCATTTTCATTTTTCACTGCTTATCGTTAGGTGTTGTCTTTCACTACCGATCAAGCATCAGCAGGTACACTTTGGACTACCAGAAAGCTGTACAAACTTGTGAAAACGTTGGAGCAAACATTGCAACCTATGAGCAACTGAAAGCAGCCTATGAGGACGGCTTTGATCAATGCGATGCCGGTTGGATTGCTGACCAGACAGTGAGGTTAGCTGCATTTCAGTTGCCTGTCCCAGAGACAACAACACTGCTGTTTAATCACGTATGCTCTATATGTCCGACTGAATTCTGGAGTGATGTGAAAGACAAAGACTTTAAAATGGCTCTTTGTTTCTCTTTTTTTATACAGATACCCAATTACAAGGCCAAGAGAGGGCTGTCATGGCAACCTTCCTAATAAACCTGGTGTCAGGTCGTATGGAACCAGAAAACCTACAGAGACCTACGATGTGTACTGTTATGTAGGCAAACTGGATGGTAAGTAGTGGATTGTCCTTCCGTAGCACTGACCCATGTTTAGTCTGAACTTAAGAAGCCTTCAAATCATCATCCGTGCTTAAGTACATTTAATTTTTACAGTTTGGAAACACACTTTTGTTCTTGTTTAAATATAAAAGCTGGTGAATGTGGGTGACCTTTTTCCAGTTTCCTTATAAGTGGGACTTGAAACATATTTTCTACAGTGGTTTTTGAATGAGACACCAACAAAAATGTGATAATGGGGTTATTAAAGGTCTTTGGCCCAGTTTATGGGAAGTCTTAGTTTGTCTTTTTTCTCTGTCCATCCTGTTATTCCTGTTATTTACTAAAGTGCTTTATCAGCTACCTTAGGATTTGTACTGCACAGTCATCTTAGTCAACACAATATATGTTCAAATATATTTGTCACAGTCTTCGAGTCATAAACGTGAACCCATCCGCTGAGGACATATACACATATGCATATACACACCCCTCATCATTATTGTGTGCATTAGAGAATAGAGATGGACGAGAAATGAAAGGACAAAATCGATAGAGATGACTGACATGTTACAGCGGTCTTCCTCTGGAACTGAACAAGGAAAGTTTTGGCACCCCACAACAACCTGAATATTCATTTCCATTATATTGTAATATTGTCTCAGTTTTCTGACCATTTATGATCTAGGAACAGACATGCTTGGCGGATGTGGTTTGATGTGTTCGAGGTTGTTAAGTGTAATAACTTGGCCATAAATTAACCATGAAAATTAATGAGTGAGCTGCAAGACACTGACTGCTTTTTTTCTATAGTTATGTAATTCCAGGGATCTTATAATATAGCTAAACAAAATGTGAACTCCATTTATGCTTATAGCAGTCATCAATATGATATCTAAAGAGCAGGAAGGGTCCAGTAAAACCACCGTGTAAAATACTGAAATCAAATAGGTTTTTTGAGGATATAACGTATGTTATCTGTTTTTAAAAGGGAAAACATTCCTGTGTGAACGACATCTCCTAATCTCAATGCCATGGTAAATCAATGGGATGAAACCATCAAGGGATATTTGAAACGTTACGCCCAAAACTAACTGAAAACATATAGGCAGTCTGCCATCGTCTCTTAATGTTGTTTGGTTTTAGTTAAGATCTTGGCTTTTAGTACCCTTTTCATTTATATAATCCTGTGAGCATAGACAAACGTTCACACTGGTCATTCTGCAGAGATTCTGACATGAACATGAAGGAAGGAAACAGCAGGTGTTTGCTCTACCCACTTTGGGGAAACCTAATGTCCTGCAATACAAACATATTTATGGACAGGCCAGGCACATTTTCAGCATTGCTATCCCACCTCAGAATAATATAATGAAAGAACTACTGTTGTCCTAAATATGATTGGTGGGAGATGTTTTGGGTCTCTGCCCTGCACAGCTGTGACTGATGTCAGCTGTGTTGGTCTTTTCTGAAAGGTCAGAATGGAGTAAAAATCTAAAGTATAGGCTATTTCAGTATGTTTTCAATCTAAAAATAATAAATACATTTTAAAGGAGAAATTACTTCTGATCTACTAGGTAATAAACCCTCTTTTTGTGTTGCTGTGACCACAGATGATTTGTTGCTATTTCGCCTATGTGCATCTACATTTGCCACTGTTTCTCATTATTTTTTATCAGGTCAAGTCTTTTATGCTCCCGTGACCCATAAGATGACTTTTGAAGAAGCCAGTGAAGAGTGTAAAAAGAGGAAAGCTGTCCTGGCAAGTCCCGGACAGCTGCATGCTGCTTGGAGACAGGGGCTAGACAGATGTGACTACGGCTGGCTCTCCGATGGCAGCGTACGGCATCCTGTCGCAGTCCCCAGAACTAAGTGTGGCGGAGGCCAACTCGGCGTGAGGACCATGTATCGCTACAGAAATCAGACTGGCTTCCCAGAACCAACTAGAAAGTTTGGGGCTTACTGCTTTAAAGGTAAAAACTCACTCCAAGATTCCTGTTGTTACTCCTTATTGCATTTGGAGTTTGTAATGGAACAAAGTGTTACCTACATATGCGACGTATATGTTAGAAGAGACAGAAAGTGACCAAAGACACAGACCACTCCCTAACAAAACCATGCTTGACTGTAAGGAGCTATAATCTCATCTCCTACATTCACTCCTGCTTCTCCACCCTTTGATTTTCTGTGTCTTTGCACCACATTACACTTTTCCATATCTGAATCACATTGACCTTTTTAACATATCTGAAAGCCTCTCTTTCCTCCCTCTTAGTTTGCGTCTGTTTCACGCCTTGCGATTGCATAGTTTCAGTAACAGCAACATGAGCAACGCTGAGGGAGGATTTTCTTCTGAGCACGGCATGTCATGTGCCAGACTACAGCATCCCGTTGACCTCACTGTCTCAAAGTTTGTCTCCCGCCCATTTCTGAGAGCCAAGAGAAAAGTGAATTCATAGTGGTAAACTCTGTTTTCTTTGAAAGCAAAAGACTGACTTTTTTTTCTTGATTGAGGAATAATGACCAAAAGTTTGCTTAAGAGAATGAGAACAGTTTATATCTGTTTGACTCTTTATTGCTTCCAGCTGGGCTAATCAAGGTTTCTTAAGCTTTACCCTCGTACAACCTCAATGTTATTGTGAATCAAACAAAAACAAGTTAATGCACTTGAGTGCAATTTTGAATATTTAAAGATATCAATCTTGGTAATATATAAAGTCAAATTAATTGCACATTATAACAAAGAATCAACCTAAACACTAAATAAGATCATGAGGATTTTTAAAAAAAAATTTTTTTTCGCCAACTCTTGCTGCACACTGTGATAATTACTGACCATGAGAGGGAAAGGAATTATAGCTGTAGATCTTTATAAATAGTGACGTTTCATGGTTGACTGGAAGTAGGCAGAATTAGATTTAATCCCTTAAAATGTGAGTGTTCTTAACTAATCGGTTTTCTTAAAACAACAGAAAATGACAGGTGATAGTTGCCATTTAGAGAAACACCAAAAGCAACTAATGCCACATCTGTCAGCCTTTTTAGCCTCGCTATCTACCACCTTTCCATCTTTCACCTCTCATTTCCTCTGTCAGTTTGCTGTCTGTCATTCTCACTTGTACTTATCAGAGCAGACGTTTGGATAATGGACAAAGCTACTGCTGGACTTCTAAATTCAGTCATCCTTGCTGACCTCTGACCTGGCCTTTCCATCTTTACAAATGAGAAGTTGGACAGATAAGCCGCCCACTGCCTGGCCATTTACTGCCCCTGGGCCATGCTAACTCTCGTGGTGATAAGTCCCTGCAGAGTTCACGCAAATGGGCCACCTTCAGCTTCTGCTCTGTGTATTTCATGTCAGCCCTCTCACTCGTGTTGTATTTACACTCCCAGCGTAAGTGCTTTTCAAGTACTCTCATTTGGCAGGATTCACTCCATCATTTCCTGAATTCCCACGCCTGATCATATCTTAATAAAAGGAATATTGTGTAAATCGACTCTACTTAGATTAGACAAAAAGACGAAGAGAGAAGAGGTAGTGCAGTGGGAAAATTGGAAAATTAGTCTCTGATTGATTTTTGGAGTGGCCTAAAGAAAACAAAGGTCTGAATAAAGGGAACAGCTCAAACTCGTTGGTGACATAATGCACTCCCTCTGAGAGCAAGCACAGTTTTTCCTGTAAGGGAAAAACATATGTCACACCTTACATCAGAGATAGTTTCATGAGGAAAGGGGTCTGCTACGTAATGGTCAACAGCTGCCTTTACAGATTCTGCCTGCGCCCCAGAGGAAAGCTTTCTAAAACGGCTTCACTGGTGTTTATGAGTAAATGAGATAACTTTTGATGAAAGTGATCTTGGGAAGACAGGGGAGAACCAGTGTTAAAAGAACGTCTTAATAATTGTAATAGTAAACTTTAAACACCATCACTGTAATCCTGTGATCAAGTCAAGGGCTGCTCTTCAGATAATCGGGTGGGTTGAATACACGAATAAAAAAGCCAGGGTAGCTCTTGACCAAACCACAACACTAGATTACTTATGATTTATATGGTGTTTAATTCATCTGTTAAACACATGGTTGCCCTTTCCCACAGAGCACGCTCATAGAAACATTTAAAGTGCACTTGGCTGTTCAAATAAAATTGAGGTAATCTCACTGATTCCATGCCCTATAATGCACAGTAAAACTTTGTTACTGTGGTTTCAACAATTTATTTGAAGAAGTTTAATGAATAACTGTTAAAGCTAGATATGAGAGAGGAAGCCTTTGACAGGGAAGTTTCTAGGAAACTTGGTATTTAAATATTGGGTGGCCACTTATTTTTGCTGCTATCGCGAATTGACTGCAACAGACTCATTAGACTTATCTCGCAAACTTATTAAGGGTGACTTAAAATTGACCTGCTGAATCACATTACTGTTTGTAATCTTGGCTTCTTAATGTACATCAATATGGTGTTTGTGAAATGCTGACAATGAAACAATGAATCTTGGCTATCCAGATCAGTAATGTGATAGAAATGTCACTTTAGCCAACCAAAAGCTCTGTTTGATACGTAAATTCATTCTGACTTTGTGATCATGTGCTTATGTATGTTGTATAGGAAGGAGAATGGTATTCAGCCAGACTTCCTTTGTGGATGTATCTGTGGTAGAAATGACCACCAACATCATCAGTCCTAGTACCTCCATCCCTTTACTGGAGAGTAGCACCATTCTGACAACTACGACATCTGAAAAAACATCAGAGGCAGACGTTTCTCCAGATTCTTCTACAGATCCTCCATCTATGTTCTCAACCAGCATGGCTCCACCTCGCCCCACCCCAGCAGGCCATGAGGAAGAGTTAATCACAACAGTTGCACCCACTATCAAAGACGACCATGAGGACGATGATGATGTAACAGCTGCGCCAGATTCTCGCACTGATGATCAAAATGTAACCTTTGTGGAAACTGCTGCTGCCCATGGTGGCACAGCCACAGAAACTAAGATCACGGTGGAAAGCACTCATGCCACAGTGTCTGATGATGAGTCAGATGATCAATCAGTAATTCAGGTCAGCACGATTCAGCCTGACGTCCCTATACCAGATGCTTCTCTCCGCAACGAGCTCATGTTTGCTGAAGGGGAGACAGAGGAAACTGTCATAGATCCTAGGAACATCACATCGATCTCTGATCTCACTGACACTCCGACCAAATCATCTGAAGTTAGCCATGAGGAAATGCTTAGCTCCTCACAATTAACACCATCACCTTCAATCAGTGATATAGCAACAGACGATAATTTGAGCTACGATGACATTTATCCTATAATAGGTTTAGAGGGTCAGCCACCTACTAGGGCATCCCAACCAGATGGCTCAGCCAGCCCTTCAGACACCAATAGAATTGATGATACAATCACAGCCATTCCACCCTTAAATAACACCCATCGTGTCAGTGAGGTGAAGGTAACCACCACAGTGACACCAAATACTGCCAGCAGTGTTGAGACACCACCAACACCTGAAGTTTCACCAGGCACAATCATCCTGATCGACAGTGTAATGTTAACTGAGGAAGTGAAATCTTCAGCAGCTGTCCATGTCTTTGATGAGTCTTCCACTCAGGTGACAGAGCGAATTGGTAGCACCTTGATGGAGGACGAAACAGCAGCAGAGTTTGGTACAGAGTTCTTTATATCTGCTCCAACGACTTCAACGGTGGCCAGTACAACAGCCCATCCAGCTGCAGTGATCACAGATAACCAGACCACCACTGCGCAGATTCAGACTGCATCAGGTAAGACGCTCCAACAATACCATAATATTTCAGCTTTCTTGTGAAATTTTTCTGTTCAGTGCAGTTTTTTTTCTCTGTTTTGTTGTGAGATTAAAGGAGTGACAAATGAAAAGAAAGGCTGATGTTACAAGTGTAGTTTTGCACTTTGTTCACATTGCTGTGTTTTAGGCCCATTTATTGTAATGTTGCTGATGTAGAGTAGCTGCAAATTGGTTGTTCCTCTTGGGTCTGTAAAGACAAAATTATGGAGAGAATGCAGAAAACGGATATGTGAATATAGCAAAGCCAACTGTAAAGGGTTTCTTCTTTAGCATTTTGTTTACATCAGGTGAATGGGTGGCTTAAAATCTACTGTCCTTATTTGTACGAGCCATTAAGGTCGTTAACAGTAGTGGTTAAGTTATGGTTCAATGGACTTGATCTCTGAATTTTGATAATATATAACTACGGTCTTTGCATAGACTCAAACATAATTAGTTACAGTGAGGGAGTACTCATGGTTCTGTGGTGTTTCAAATTACTGGTTGTAAGTCTTCAGTCATTTAGTAAGAGGGATACCCCTACCACATGTTTATGTGTTATCAGTGACTGCTGCTGAATGGCATGCTTTGCCTGAGGGAACCAGATACAGTGGGGCAAAAAAGTATTTAGTCAGCCACCGATTGTGCAAGTTCCCCCACTTAAAATGATGACAGAGGTCAGTAATTTGCACCAGAGGTACACTTCAACTGTGAGAGACAGAATGTGAAAAAAAAATCCATGAATTCACATGGTAGGATTTGTAAAGAATTTATTCGTAAATCAGGGTGGAAAATAAGTATTTGGTCAATAACAAAAATATAACTCAATAATTTGTAACATAACCTTTGTTGGCAATAACAGAGGTAAAACGTTTACTATAGGTCTTTACCAGGTTTGCACACACAGTAGCTGGTATTTTGGCCCATTCCTCCATGCAGATCTTCTCGAGAGCAGTGATGTTTTGGGGCTGTCGCCGAGCAACACGGACTTTCAACTCCCGCCACAGATTTTCTATGGGGTTGAGGTCTGGAGACTGGCTAGGCCACTCCAGGACTTTCAAATGCTTCTTACGGAGCCACTCCTTTGTTGCCCGGGCGGTGTGTTTTGGATCATTGTCATGTTGGAAGACCCAGCCTCGTTTCATCTTCAAAGTTCTCACGGATGGAAGGAGGTTTTGGCTCAAAATCTCACGATACATGGCCCCATTCATTCTGTCCTTAACACGGATCAGTCATCCTGTCCCCTTGGCAGAAAAACAGCCCCACAGCATGATGTTTCCACCCCCATGCTTCACAGTAGGTATGGTGTTCTTGGGATGCAACTCAGTATTCTTCTTCCTCCAAACACGACGAGTTGAGTTTATACCAAAAAGTTCTACTTTGGTTTCATCTGACCACATGACATTCTCCCAATCCTCTGCTGTATCATCCATGTGCTCTCTGGCAAACTTCAGACGGGCCTGGACATGCACTGGCTTCAGCAGCGGAACACGTCTGACACTGCGGGATTTGATTCCCTGCCATTGTAGTGTGTTACTGATGGTGACCTTTGTTACTTTGGTCCCAGCTCTCTGCAGGTCATTCACCAGGTCCCCCCGTGTGGTACTGGGATCTTTGCTCAACGTTCTCATGATCATTTTGACCCCACGGGATGAGATCTTGCGTGGAGCCCCAGATCGAGGGAGATTATCAGTGGTCTTGTATGTCTTCCATTTTCTGATGATTGCTCCCACAGTTGATTTTTTCACACCAAGCTGCTTGCCTATTGTAGATTCACTCTTCCCAGTCTGGTGCAGGTCTACAATACTTTTCCTGGTGTCCTTCGAAAGCTCTTTGGTCTTGGCCATGGCGGAGTTTGGAGTCTGACTGTTTGAGGCTGTGGACAGGTGTCTTTTATACAGATGATGAGTTCAAACAGGTGCCATTCATACAGGTAACGAGTGGGGGACAGAAAAGCTTCTTACAGAAGACGTTACAGGTCTGTGAGAGCCAGAGATTTTCCTTGTTTGAGGTGACCAAATACTTATTTTCCAACCTAATTTACGAATTAATTCTTTACAAATCCTACCATGTGGATTCATGGATTTGTTTTTCACATTCTGTCTCTCACAGTTGAAGTGTACCTCTGGTGCAAATTACTGACCTCTGTCATCATTTTAAGTGGGGGAACTTGCACAATCGGTGGCTGACTAAATACTTTTTTGCCCCACTGTAATTTCAGGATGATTTTGACAAAAAAAAAAAAACACAGGAAGAGAAAGATAATAATAATATGAAGCAAAGAGAGACATTTAGAGAGTGTGACCAGCGCCATCTGTGAGTTAAAGCCCAAGCCTTTGGACAAGCTGATCATAAATGATTCACTGCAGTTTTTGATGGGATTATTTCCCAAAACAGTAAATTCTATTGTTATAGCTGTTTATATTTAATAGTGAGATAAAATAACCTGGTTTTGTGCATAATTCAAATGTTTGAGACTGAAACTATGTTTTAAATTGTTGGAATAATTTAAATATATTTTGTCACAGTAAAACGTGAAAATCACTAAATGTTGCTTTCAGTGGTGGTCTTGTTTGCATAACTTCCCAACCACGAGCACAAGAGAACTAAATTTCTAAAGATAAATGATGGTCTATTATTTTAATAAAGCTCCAAAAGTCAGACTGAATGATAGTAAGGAGCTGTGAGCTGTTCACCACAGGTGACATCAGAAGCCACAAAGCAGACATGAAAGCTTTATGAAGAAGTCTTTAAATCTGATCCTTACACTTAGTTGTGAAATCTTTTAGCAAGCAGTGATTTGGTTGTATGAGTCAGTTACAGCCAGGGAACTCATTAAGCAATCATCAGTGGCACTTCTGTGTTCCTCTATACTGGCTTCATTGGGCCAACATTGGATGATCTCACATGCAAACAGCAGCTGCACCGTTTTTTGCTCCATGAATTTTGCATCTGAGCTTCAAATATTGTTATGGTGACTCATTTCTTGTCCCTGGAGAGCAGTCTGTGTTGAAGGGTAGGGATCTGCTAAATTGGAAAGCATACAAGTGAATGAACTGGTCATTTTGCAGAAACTGAGAATAACTTTGTGGTAGGTTCTAAGCCCACCTGAGAGAGCAATGATCTGCTTTCCAAATTATACACAATGAAAGTGCTAATGTGGCCATAAGCACTGTGTATATCCAGTGTTGTTGGTTTAGATGCCAAGAATGCACATGACATTGCTTGTGTAAGAGAGCCCTCTCTGTGAAAGAAATACAAACTCTGTCTGTACTTCTGTATTTGTACTGCAAATAACTATGCAGCTGCAGTATTTCTCTCCTCGTGTGTGCACGTACCAGCTTGCTGACAGCCAGCCTGGCAATAGCAGAGGTGTGTTGGCAGTCTACCTGAGTAACCACAGATGCCTTTCTTCAGTGCAGACTGGACACCACCTCAAAAGATGATGTCATTTCTAACTCACAGTCTCCATTCTCTGTCAGGACAGCTGGAGGCTGCCTGGCCAAAGTGGGTGATTATAGCTACTTTTACTGCTACATCATGTGATGTAGCTCAGCTGAGACACTCTCTTTTCTGCCCTCCCAGTTTGTGTGGGAAAAGCTTTTGGAAAATATTGTGGCACTGGGAAGAGTGTGCCGTCTGGATGCATGGTAACAAAGTGCACAATAATATCAACGAATTGTTGTTTAGAGCACCTCAAAATCTGTCAGAGTTATTGTGAACTGTGCACATGTGTTTCTGATTAATTGCTGACAATTAAATTCATTGTTTAGTGCTTAGTGTTTATATGGCATATTATGACTTGTTGAAATATTGGTACTCTGAGGCGTGGCAACCACAGATGTCACAAAACCACCAACAGTACATTCTTACAGTAATTAAACATCTATTTAACATCCAGTCCACGAAAGCTTGCTAAACAAATCTTTATAAGAGTACTTAACATTTTTAGAAGTGGGCTTAATTGCATTTTTGTAAAGTCTTTGATAAGAGGATTGCACTTTAATTATACTTATTAATGCTATTTTGTGCAAGGTTTGTACTTTTAACCCTCTCACATACATTTATGCAGTAAACTCTAACAACCCTCACCTATTTTACCTTGTTGGAATTACACTCCTGTATAACTGTGTTGTGCACAGAAATACTTAGCTTTGACAACATCTCCATTGGTGAGAGCTATCAAACTTATAACACTAAGAGACAATCAGAAAATAGTGGAAACTCTAATACCTAGAGTCTATGAATATGAATATGCCTCAGTACCACAAGGTGGTGCAGGTTAAGTTATCTACACTTCACTTTGATATAGATATAGTGCTATGGAGACCTGGCATTGTATGGTAATTGTTAAATTCAGGTAATTAAATTCACTGGAAATCCCTGTCATATTGTTATTTGCACCACTGAGCTCACATGTTAGTTGTTAGCATTTGTTAGCTAGTGCTAACAGCTAATATCACTTGCCTGTCCACTTCCACCAGGTAACCTTACAAAATTCTAAGACTTATTTGAAACAAATTAATAAGGGCTGGGTGTGAGTTGCTGTGTTTCAACATTGCTGTGCTAGCTTTGTTGACAGCACTCCCTTATCATGCATATACAAAACTAGAAGCAGACAAGGATCGTAATCTTCATTAAGGCCAGTCCCACACTCGCTCATGCTCTACCTGTCCACCAAGTTTCCATGCAGTATTTTCTGCTGTAACCTTTTGTCCTGCGTCTCATCTTGACCTAGTTGTAGTCTACATAAGTTATTCATGGATATGGATTGCACTGAAGTTGGGGGCTTTTAATGATTTCTTTGACCCGTTCTTTTGTTAGGGTTGAATGATTGCACAGCATACAATCACTGAACAATGAATTTGAATTTACTTTAGATTTTTCTGATGCATACTGTTTCAAACCTATGCATACTTCCCCACTAGTGTTTGGTTTAAAGCCTCCTAGAAAGTTGCACCTTGACTAGACACTTTTGGTATTTTGGCATAATTCTGGCTTGATGTTTGAACTGTCCTCTTGGCAGCATTGGTAGAGTTAATTTAAAGTTGTTGGTTTAAATGGCCTTTAAGTGGCTTTTAAGTGTCATCTGCAAATTTTCAATAGGGTTGAGGTTTGCGCTTTGGGAAGGCCATTCCAGAAGCTTAATGTTAGCTTGCTTTATACATTCCAAAACCAGTTTTGATGTGTGTTTGGGATTGTCCTCTTGGAAAACCCAAAAGTTTCAACTGTTTAGCTGTTGATTTGAGATGAAGTTGAAAAATTTGGAGGTAGACCTCCTTGATAATTTCATTAACTTTGTGCAATCAACCAGTACCACTGGAAGCAAAACAGTTCCAGAGCATGATGCTATCACCACCACCATACTTAGCAGCTTGTACAGTGTTCTGTGCTAAAGCCTCACCTTTATTCCTCCAAACATAACTCTTGTAATTGCTGTTAGGTTTTATGGTCAGACAAGACAAAGACTTTCTCTGGAAAAACTTGTTCATGTAGACAGCTGCAAATTTCTGTTGAGGTTAAGGATGTCAATTTAGAAGCATAAGCTTCTTTCTTGGTCGGCACCATCTCAGTCAATGGTGATGTAAAAATTACTTCACTGTGGACTGTGACACTGCTCTTCCAGGAGTTTCATGACAGGATTAAGCCTCTGTGGCTCCTAGGTTGTTCCTGAACATCCAATTTCCTCTCATCTGAGGGCGACAGTTTGGTTCTTCTTCCAGACCTGGTAAAGTGACACATACGAATAACTGATGGTCTTTAAATCTGCAGTTGCTTATAAATAGCTCCAAGAGATCTTCCCAACTTGTGCTAATCTACAGTTTAGAACTTGAATGAATTCCTTGAACCTTCCCATTGTTCTGATTAGTGGTCAATCCAGTGAGTGCCATCAAAAATCTTTTTTGTGCTGGCAGATAAACTAACAGCCCTAGTCAGTTAAAGAGAAGTCAGCTAAAGACAAGTTAAATGGCCATAGGTATTTAAGTGAGAGTATATATTTGAGCCTGTGTGTACACTTTTGATACTGTGTGGAATAGAGAAAATCCAAATTAAATTAAAACTTGTGCACCCAATTCTTGTTTTTAAAAGTCATTAAAGACAAAAAAGAAAAGAAAAGAAAATCAATTATCATGACATTCATGCCCATTATGAGTTATTAAAACTCAATATGTAAAACGACTTCAAAATGTTTAAACTAAAAAATGTGATTGTTAAAAAATGATTGCTTTTAAAAAACAATTCCAGCAGTTGTTACACATTTAACTCTAATTTCCCTCAACCCAAATCTTTAAATACTGGTTGGGAGTAGAACAAGAACAAAATAGGAGAGTTTTTAGGTAAATCCCAGTTTGTCCAGTTCATTGAAGTATTTACCTAATTTGTAACTAATCTTGAATGCAAGCTGAACTTGTGTTTCTTTGAAAGTTGGACAGCTACATAATGCTGACAGGTGATGAAGACTAGAGAAGGACTGTGTGTGTGTTGTTGTGTGTGAGAGACGGATAGTTTCTGAATGTGTGTGGATCCGACAAGTGGGAATATTGCCTAGTTCCCAGGCCTTACCTGGATTTCTAACAGGTGTCTTTTTGCAAAGCTGAGCTACTGCAGGTGTTATTGTTGCAACCAGTAATTTTTGTTAATCGTCATTTGTGGGAAAGGAGTGAGAGAGAGAGAGTGAGAGAGAGAGAGAGAGAGAGAGAGAGAGAGAGAGAGAGAGAGAGAGAACAAGTGGCAGAAACAGAGAGAGAGAAGGAGGTAGAGGTTATTCAATTTGTTTATGAACAGATGCAAACATGGGTAAGGAGCATAGCAACACTGTTAATTTTAAGATTAATCACAGCTTTTCTTTCTACAGCCAGCACTGTATATGTTATCATCTTTGTTAAATTCATAATTCTATGGCTTAGTATCAACGGGCTTTTCCTTTCTTTTCTTTGCTTGCAAAGTAAAAGTGGAAATGTTCACTCTTGTAATGAGGCTAAACAGATGATTTCCAGAGAGGACAGGCCATGCTGTGCCTCAGTTATCAGGTCCATTTTCAGTAAAGTTCATTTTTTTGTTCACTGTTTCCTAAGTAAAGCGCTTTGGATGAACATATTTTTTGCAGCAGTCTAAAGCCACTACCTTTTAAACAGTATGTGGACTACTTCCAGCCAGACAAATCTTGTTTATTTATAGGAATACATAAACCCATTTGGCAACATAGTGTAGGCGGCTGATGATAACATTGCTGCAGTGGAAACAGAATGCTGCTTCTGTGTTAGACTTAGACAGCTAAGATCTGAATTACTTCAAGGAATTTCCTTTTTTTGTTATATACAAGGAGTGAACATGATAATTTGAACACTTCCACAACACAGTCATATTCAGATTAACAGTTGTACCATATGTACTATACAGCACTGTGCTATACACGATAGCTTTGTGATGCTAGCATGTGAATTACAGCAATGTTGAATGAAGAAATAGGAAGTTAGGAATGGTGTAATTTTGCTGCCTTTTCATATGTTAACATTGTTCCTTGGGTATTTTTTTTAATGCATAAACTAAATATTCATGTGCTAATTTTCCTTTATTTTCTTTACAGCTAACCAGGCTTCAGAATCACAGAATGCTCAGTCTCTTGCCACACCAGTTTTGCTGGACCATCCCACTCCCTCTGTAGGTGTTGGTGAGACAATCATACAAAGCAGAGACCCAGAACGTTTCCCACAAGCTACCATAACCATCACCCCAGGTATCAGCTTTATTAATGGTAAACAAGAGATCACATTGGAGCCTCAAAGCGTGGAAGAAAAAGAGGCCAAAGGTACCCAGATTTTGATTGATTTCTCTGATGGTAGCTTCACTAAATCTACACAGGAACCTACAGAACCTCTGGCTTTTACAGAAACCCCATATATGGTTGTCTCTGAGCCTGACAGAGGGCCAACCGTTGAATCAATGCCTCCTCAATTAGGGGATGATCTGACCACAAAAGGCCAAAAACACAAAGACTTAACCTCTGTTATTGCCACAACAGTAGAAGACAAGATTCCACTGGAAACTCCACAAATAACTGTGGCTGGCTCGGCTTCCACAGATACTACTGACCTTCTTCCTGCAGTAACACCAACTGAGCCACAGAGAACCAAAGCAGTTAAAGAAACCCAAACATCAAAGGCTAATGTGAAAACCCCTGCTTTCAGCACTATGTCTGTACAAAAAGGGACACATGAGACAGGAAGAACTCCTGCCCATGGGAAAAGTGACTCAAATCTGACTCAGAGACAGAAGACTGAGGATGAATCTCCAACTACTTCTCCAACCAGATTTTACACAGACAAAGATAAAGATGAAATCATAGCGGAAACAGAGAGCACATCTCCCAGTCCAGCTGTTAAAGACAGCACAGAGTCTGTGTTAGAGACTGTGTATAGTCCTTCCACCGCTGACGCTGATAGGGAAACAGCAACATCATCAAGAGGCCCCACTCAAGATGTAGAGGGGAGGAAAGAGATCCAGACCACAGAAGGATTTACCTTAAGCACAACAACTTCTTCAGTATTTAGTAGTGCACCCTCTCTTAAGCAGATAGCCAAGGCTGAGGTCACACCAGCTGCAGGAGGTACTGAATCTTCAAAATCTGAAGCACCGATTGAAACTCCGGAGGATAAAATCACAAGTCAAGGAGGGATTAGAGTCAGCCCAATACGTTTAACTTCCTCTACAGAGAGAGTTGGAACTGATGCGGTATCTATAACGCAGGAGGAGGGTTCAGTAGTCCAAACTGTAAATATGTTTACAACCAGCCCACATCCACATATCTCTACCTTAGCATTATCTTCACGTTTAACCTTTACACATACAGAAGCTAAAGCCCAAATGGAAAGTAAAGTAACTTCAAATATAGTACAATCAGGATGCACTCATCAAACACCTAGTCCTGGCACTAGTGTGTTAGAACAAACTTCCACACCTGCCACTCCGCATGAAGAGAAGAAAAAAAATGAGCCAACCACTACTCAGTCTTATGGATCCATTGCAACGACTGATTCTACTGAGATATTCAGTCCGTCAACAATGAAGTCAGAAACTACATCCTTCCCGAGTGCCACAGATACAGATTTTTCCGGAGACAGCACTACTGTTTTCCCTGAAGTCTCAAGCATCATAACAACAACACTGCTTTCAAGTGATACTTCAAAAGGTGCTTTTACTTCATCCTCATCTGTCTTCAGTACTCAGAAGCCAATATCAGTGTCATCTGGTACGCAAAAATCTGTGACCACAAGCAAGTTCGATGAATATTCATTAACACCAGAGGAAAGTTCTTTTTTGACATCAACAGAAGAGGACTCAGGAGATCAGACGCCTGAAATGATCATAAATCTCACTGCACTTCCCACAGCTTCCGCAAAGTTCACCACGGAGAAGTCAACAGCAACTCCAGCTGACGTTTACTCCAGTGCTCTCTCAGATCAGACAGAAAAGACTTCTGTTTCTCCTTTGACTGATAAGACAATGACCTATTTGGACACAACTCCAATGGATGTAGAACGTTCAAGTGATGACACCACAGATATATTGAATGCAAGCTCTGTTTTCAGTGACGTATCTCCATCTGTATCCAGCACTGTGGAGTCAATACCACTATCACTTGCAGTAACACAACATGTTGATACAGATCAGACTAAAGTACCATCCCTTACCAGTGTTCCAGATGTTGAGGTTGAAAGTGAAAGCAGTCAAACTACCGTAATGGACTCGTTTGCTTCTGTCAGTCCGTCAACAATGAAGTCAGAAACTACATCCTTCCCGAGTGCCACAGATACAGATTTTTCTGGAGACAGCACTACTGTTTTCGCTGAAGTCTCAAGCATCATAACAACAACACTGCTTTCAAGTGATACTTCAAAAGGTGCTTTTACTTCATCCTCATCTGTCTTCAGTACTCAGAAGCCAATATCAGTGTCATCTGGTATGGAAAAATCTGTCACCACAAGCAAGTTCGATGAATATTCATTAACACCAGAGGAAAGTTCTTTTTTGACATCAACAGAAGAGGGCTCAGGAGATCAGACACCTGAAATGATCAGAAATCTCACTGCACTTCCCACAGCTTCCTCATTGTTCACCACGGAGAAGTCAACAGCAACTCCAGCTGACGTTTACTCCAGTGCTCTCTCAGATCAGACAGAAAAGACTTCTGTTTCTCCTTTGACTGATAAGACAATGACCTATTCGGACACAACTCCAATGGATGTAGAACGTTCAAGTGATGACACCACAGATATATTGAATGCAAGCTCTGTTTTCAGTGACGTATCTCCATCTGTATCCAGCACTGTGGAGTCAATACCACTATCACTTGCAGTAACACAACATGTTGATACAGATCAGACTAAAGTACCATCCCTTACCAGTGTTCCAGATGTTGAGGTTGAAAGTGAAAGCAGTCAACCTACCGTAATGGACTCGTTTGCTTCTGTCAGTCCATCAACAATGAAGTCAGAAACTACATCCGTCCCGAGTGCCACAGATACAGATTTTTCTGGAGACAGCACTACTGTTTTCCCTGAAGTCTCAAGCATCATAACAACAACAGTGCTTTCAAGTGATACTTCAAAAGGTGCTTTTACTTCATCCTCATCTGTCTTCAGTACTCAGAAGCCAATATCAGTGTCATCTGGTACGCAAAAATCTGTCACCACAAGCAAGTTCGATGAATATTCATTAACACCAGAGGAAAGTTCTTTTTTGACATCAACAGAAGAGGACTCAGGAGATCAGACGCCTGAAATGATCAGAAATCTCACTGCACTTCCCACAGCTTCCGCAAAGTTCACCACGGAGCAGTCAACAGCAACTCCAGCTGACGTTTACTCCAGTGCTCTCTCAGATCAGACAGAAAAGACTTCTGTTTCTCCTTTGACTGATAAGACAATGACCTATTCGGACACAACTCCAATGGATGTAGAACGTTCAAGTGATGACACCACAGATATATTGAATGCAAGCTCTGTTTTCAGTGCCGTATCTCCATCTGTATCCAGCACTGTGGAGTCAATGCCACTATCACTTGCAGTAACACAACATGTTGATACAGATGAGACTAAAGTACCATCCCTTACCAGTGTTCCAGATGTTGAGGTTGAAAGTGAAAGCAGTCAACCTACCGTAATGGACTCGTTTGCTTCTGTCAGTCCATCAACAATGAAGTCAGAAACTACATCCGTCCCGAGTGCCACAGATACAGATTTTTCTGGAGACAGCACTACTGTTTTCGCTGAAGTCTCAAGCATCATAACAACAACACTGCTTTCAAGTGATACTTCAAAAGGTGCTTTTACTTCATCCTCATCTGTCTTCAGTACTCAGAAGCCAATATCAGTGTCATCTGGTATGGAAAAATCTGTCACCACAAGCAAGTTCGATGAATATTCATTAACACCAGAGGAAAGTTCTTTTTTGACATCAACAGAAGAGGGCTCAGGAGATCAGACGCCTGAAATGATCAGAAATCTCACTGCACTTCCCACAGCTTCCTCATTGTTCACCACGGAGAAGTCAACAGCAACTCCAGCTGACGTTTACTCCAGTGCTCTCTCAGATCAGACAGAAAAGACTTCTGTTTCTCCTTTGACTGATAAGACAATGACCTATTTGGACACAACTCCAATGGATGTAGAACGTTCAAGTGATGACACCACAGATATATTGAATGCAAGCTCTGTTTTCAGTGACGTATCTCCATCTGTATCCAGCACTGTGGAGTCAATACCACTATCACTTGCAGTAACACAACATGTTGATACAGATCAGACTAAAGTACCATCCCTTACCAGTGTTCCAGATGTTGAGGTTGAAAGTGAAAGCAGTCAACCTACCGTAATGGACTCGTTTGCTTCTGTCAGTCCGTCAACAATGAAGTCAGAAACTACATCCTTCCCGAGTGCCACAGATACAGATTTTTCTGGAGACAGCACTACTGTTTTCGCTGAAGTCTCAAGCATCATAACAACAACACTGCTTTCAAGTGATACTTCAAAAGGTGCTTTTACTTCATCCTCATCTGTCTTCAGTACTCAGAAGCCAATATCAGTGTCATCTGGTACGCAAAAATCTGTGACCACAAGCAAGTTCGATGAATATTCATTAACACCAGAGGAAAGTTCTTTTTTGACATCAACAGAAGAGGACTCAGGAGATCAGACGCCTGAAATGATCATAAATCTCACTGCACTTCCCACAGCTTCCGCAAAGTTCACCACGGAGCAGTCAACAGCAACTCCAGCTGACGTTTACTCCAGTGCTCTCTCAGATCAGACAGAAAAGACTTCTGTTTCTCCTTTGACTGATAAGACAATGACCTATTTGGACACAACTCCAATGGATGTAGAACGTTCAAGTGATGACACCACAGATATATTGAATGCAAGCTCTGTTTTCAGTGACGTATCTCCATCTGTATCCAGCACTGTGGAGTCAATGCCACTATCACTTGCAGTAACACAACATGTTGATACAGATGCGATGTCATCTGGAACAGACAAATACTATACCACAACTGCAAGAGATGAAACTAACTCCTTTACTGAAGAGTGGAGCTCGCATGATGAGATAACCCATATACCGGCCTTTGTCAATGCAGTTCCTCCATCTTTTTCATCGCTCAGCACAATGGCCCCAACATCAAGTCCAGTCGCAGAACTTGAGATTCCATTAATTAGTCACCCAGAGAAAACCTTGCTTTACCCCTTAACTGACAACACAGTGTTATCTCCTGAACCCTTTACATTAACTGACCAAACTGTAGACATGTTTACGTTATCTTCTTTCTCAGATACAACTTCAACTGAAACAATAGAGATGGTAACAACAAGGAACACTGTTTCTTTTGATTTCATGACTACAACATCAACATCAGCACCATCAACTACTTTCAGTGACTCTCAAAGAACACACACATCCTTTACAGCAACAGTTGAAAACCTGAAAACTTTGACTCACAGTACAATGATTTCACCTCATGAGTTCATGACCGGGCAGTCTACAGATGCTCCTCTGTTTTCTGCCACTACTCAGGTTGAGTCAGAAACAGGTCATTTTCCCGACCCAGACTTCTCAGGAGATTACACATCAACATACACAGATGAAACAGCACCTGAACAGCCCTCTGTGGAATCAGCAACCCTAGCAGTAACAACATTTAGTCCATCAAACACACCTGTATTCACTGGGGAAGAGCATTCAAGTGATAGAGAATTTACAACTGCTACATCTAGTCCCTATACACTCAAAACATTTCGGCCAATGGCAATACCCAGTATTACCCCAATGATGACCTCTGCCTACAATGACATGGACAACTCTGGCAGCTTCCCTCAAGACTTTGATTTGGAATCAAGTCAAGATGGATCTGGTGAAGGGATATTAATTGAAACTGCTACAAAACCATACAAGGAATTTAAAGTGCAAACAGATGAGACAGAAACAGATGAGACTTGGAGCACATCTGACATGGTCAGTGTTGCATTTTCACCTCAGTCTAGTACACAGGTAACCAAAGAATTTATATCACCAACTCAATCTCCAAGCATGATGAGCCCTGAGATTTACACTTCTGATCAGGGCAGTGGAGTCACCGATCAAGATGAGTGGTCAGGCGATGACTCAAGTGGGTCATCCTCCACAAGAGTACCTGAAAGGGAGAGTTCTGGAGTTTTGGATAGTACAATTTCCTCAGCGGTTATAAATTCAGTGTTTCCAGAAGATAGTGACCCAGGTGGCCATACCACTGACGTGCTTATTACAGTAAAAGACACAGGATTATCAGTTCTACCCACAACCAAACCAAGAATAATAGGAGCAACTCATGAAAGTACATCTGTTACTAGCACAGAGAGTACAGGCCATTCCATTTTCAGCACAGAGAAACCAACAAGCACAGCAAAAAGACTTAATGAAAGTGGAACAGCTGATGTTCCAAAATCTACTGCACCTGCAGCTTCTCTCTACACCACAGAGAAGTCGTACACATCAACAGAATATGCAATCACAAGTAAAAAATCAACACCAAAACCAGATTTTACTTTGACAGAGGTAGAGAGTTCTGGCAACCAAACCACTGTGAAGTTCACCCTAAAGCCTTCAGTGATGGAGACTGCCACATTTTCAGAAACAGCAGGTGAAACCAAGGGTTTTGCTACAGCAACAGCAACCTCTGATAACAGGGTTTTCTCACAGGAAAGTAAAATTACTCCAGCAACAGATCATCCCCTTTCAAGCACTGAGAAAGATGAGGTTGCTGTGGCTGAACACACAACAGAATCCCCCTCTACAGCCCTGCCCTCCCATACAACCGATGCCTTAATATATAATCACACTGTTGTTGATTTCAGCACAGAAAGCTTGAGCAGTGAGCATAAACAAGATGAATTTACATCAACATCTGCCCCAGTTCCCACTGTTATATATCACAGCGTTACAGATCAACAAGTTGAGATTATTACTCCCGACAGGAGCCAAGCCAAGACTCGACTAACTGAACAAACACCGACCATAGTTCTGGATGCATCCAAAACATCAACCAGCACATCTATCATATTCATCGAGGATACACAACAGGAAGATAAACTGTTCTCTGGAGTTACAGATAGTATGAGAGAAGACAGCTACAGTACAGAGCTTATTACCAAAGATGATACAATCACTGATGCAGATACGATGTCTGTGGTTCCCTCTTCTTCATTTTATCCAACTATTCTGACAGAGGAAGCTGGGGGTGTCACAGCAATTACAATAACTCAAAAGCTGGAAGTTACAGAAGAACCAGAGGGTTCAGGGACTGTGGGTGACACATTTTTGAGTCCTACACCAACCTCAGCCAGTGATACATCATCAGCCTCAACATCTTCTGAATACTTGTTCACTTCAGAATCGTCACCTGTGAAAGACGTTTCTTCGGAAGAAACATCAAGTGAAGTAAATGTCACAAGGTTGGCGCAGGTCACACAAGATACTTCCGTGTCCACTCAGTCAAGCTCTGGAGAAATCTATGATGTTACAACAACACACAAAGTTTTCTCATTTGAGACTACCAAACCAATTTCTGATCAATTCCAAGGAGACACTACTGAGATTTCCACTTCCTCATCTTTTTCTTCTCAAATGTTAATGGAAACAGCAGACTCTACCTCTGTCACTTTAGTGACTAGTGAAGATTATGTGGTCACCACAGTTAAAAAAGAAAAATATACGACAGCATCACCCGTAATTCTAACAGCTACAAGTCACGGCATAACTGATAAAACCTTAAGTTCATCCGTTTTCACACAAACCACTAAACCTTCAGTCACTGTCGCACCAGTCTCCACTAAACCTGGAACAATGAAATCCACCAGTAAAACATCTGATGACGACTCTTCAGGTGACTCTGATGACTTTGCACAAGAAAGCTCAGAGAAACCTTCAGCATCATCTTTGGAAAGTTGGATGACTGAAAAAACATCTACACCCTCTTCACTGTTTAGTACTGAGCAAGCCAGGTCTGAGATCATGCCTACTCCCCACACTGGCATCTCTTCTGAGAAAAATGTGCCAGCCACAGTGAGCCCAGTGTTGTCTAGTGAGAAGTTAAGCACTGCTATGGTTGTAACTGCCCAGACTGCATTAACAGTCACAACATTGAAAGGGGAAATTTCAAGTAGTTCAGACAGTGACATCCAGAAAACATCTCCTCATGCTATTATAACTTCATCTCATATGGGGACAGGAGCGGAGCCTGTTGGAGTAGAATCTACAACTCCAAAACCTCCAAGTGAAGAAGAAGAAGAAACTATAGCTACTGACACAAGATCTCCTGCAGTGTCAAGCGCTGTAGACGCATCACTAGAGATCTCAGGTGAAGCAACTTATTCATTTTCATTTGAAACAAAAAGGACTCCATCCTCAGGTGTGTCCTCAGTTTCTACCACTGAGACTGAAGGGTTGGTTTTCACTTCAGAAATTACTGACCAGTCACCCAAAATGATAACAGAACCTGCCCTTACCATTCTTGCTTCTACCACTGAGAAGCCAGCTGTAGTATCGACTGAGAGAGACACCTCAACCGATGAAGACAGTTCACGTTATGCCAAGACGCCAGTGAAGAGTGAAGAGAGGTTTATATCAACAGGAACAAGTATTATTATTTCTACAGCAGGTTCAAGTGAAATGGGATTGAGCACCTTTGGGTCTGACTCTGTCACTCCTAGTTTGTCGACCGTTAAGAAGACTATGATTACTAGCACTTTATCCACTCAGCCGGCAAGCTCCCAAACAGATGAGTCAGAATCTTTTGAAGAAACCTCAGGTCAGACATCCCATGAGGTCTTCAGCACTGCAGCCCATGCAACACAGCCCCCTGCTGTGACCAGATCTATTGAGTCATTGAATACATCAACTTCCTTTGAGTCAGAACCAAAGGAGTCACAAAATGCAGCTATAACAAGCACAGCTATCTCAGAGACAACAGTAATGATCACCACAATACCCACTTCAAATGTCCCCTCAACACCATCACAGCCAGATGTTGTCATTCAGTTGGACTCAACTCTTTCTCCTCTACAACCACTGACAACTCCCATGGAATTATTTGAACAAGCCAAGTCAGAAATTACACTTACACACCGCCCCAACCCTGGTCTTTCTCATGATATATCACTGACCACAACTCGCCCTGTATTTGCTAATCATGTCACAAGCCAGACTGCAGTATCAACAGTTGCACCTGCTTTTGTTTCTGAAGACGACCGTGTTTCGGTAGCAGATGGGACAGTTGAACCAGCTGTTGATCAGGTCTCAAGTGGTGCAACGACTCACCTCAGTCTAACTGATCCACAACCAGATTATGAAGCACTAAATCCTTATGTGGTGGCAGCAGATCCCCTGTACAACCAAACACTAGAAAATGATACAGTGTTAATTTCTACACCACCATCTGTTGCTCAAACACCTGACTCAAAGGTAATAGCAGAAGCTATCATGGTTACGGCATCAACCACAATCAGTGGAAAATCAGTCTCTACCCTCCAAGAAAACAGCATGACTACAGCAAGTGTTGTTAAGCTGGGTGATGATGAGTCACCTTCTGTCCCTAATGATAAGGCTGAAAGTGGCTCTGTAAGTTCTGGGATTTCATCCCCCAGCTTTGATGATGTATTTGATGAACTGATGACTACAAAGGCACCAAAGATCATCAGTATAGAACAGGCTCTATCTCCAGATGAAATCAAGAAAGTATTTAAGGTAAATGCTACAGAAGCTTCAAAGAAGGAAGGTGTTGATGTCACGTTTGGGAAAGGTGACATAGGTGTCTCTCCTTACACTGAAATACCAACCAGCACTCAATTCAAGACAGTATCACCAGCCCAGGTGCAAAATCAGCTAGGTACAATTGCATCAACCACACCATCAACCTTTTCTGAGCAAGACCAGAAACAGGGCAGTGACATGACTGCACCACCATCAGTTATTGAAGGAAAACCATCAATAAAAGAGGAGGAAACAACCACACCGCCTAATAGAGGATTTGATCTGGGACACACTGTTGTTGGCGAGACTATGGAGATTTCTGGTAAGTTTCCTTCTAAGTTGGCACTGAAATAGAGCAAAAAAAACGAATACTCCAATAAACTTCTGTTTAATTCGACTTTTATTTTACTTTGCCATCAGGAATTGACTCATGCACAGAGGATGTTTGTCTAAATGGAGGCTCTTGCTTGAGGATTGGCAGCACCTATACCTGTCACTGTGCTCCTGGTTTCAGTGGTCATCAATGTGAAATAGGTAGGACAATTCTTGCAAAGCTCACATGAAGCACTGCTAAAAGAACATAATATTTCTGGGACTACAAGTTGTTTTGCTCATCTGCTCCTATTGATTATGTCTGTTTCTTATGAAGATATTGATGAGTGTGAATCAAACCCTTGCCGCAATGGAGGCACTTGTGTCGATGGCTTGTCTTCTTTCACATGTGTGTGTCTCCCGAGCTATGCTGGGCTGTTTTGTGAAGAGGGTAAGTTTGAAATTAATTTAACAATTTTTCTCTCTAGATTCTTTCTTATTATTATTTTTCCCATTAATAAAACTCATCAGTTATTTCTGGGCTGGTCTCAATTATCCAAATTGAGCTAGTGCTAAGCACATATAAGAGAGAAACAAAATGTTAACATTATAGCCTCTTATATTTGACTATGTATTTAGACATTTAACATATTACTCAGTTGAGTGAACCACAAAAATGTTTAGACACGCCACATTAAATATAATCATACTGTTTGCATGCAGCTGATCGACGTCTCGTCCTCAGGCGTCAGCTGACTAATCAACAACATCTTTATTTCATCACCACAGCTTTTTTTTTACTGTCTCTTTTTGGTGTCTCATTGTAGCTAACATACTTCAAAACCCCTTGAATTCCCAAAGATTTCAGTTTCTTAGTATTTAAAGATATGGCCTGTTGTCATCAAGTTGAATCCAGTCAGAGTAAATGCATGCTAGATCTCAAATCACTATATTTCCATCTAAGACAACTTTACTGGACTAGAAAATACAATGAAGTCTCTGAGTTCTTGCTTAAAAAAGTTTATCTGGACAAGGGAGTTCTGGAATATTTAAGAAAAAATTATTTTACTGTTACCAGTTGAACCATATATTTACACCAAGTGTGCTGAAACCAGGGCAATATGTGCCTTGGGTGATGTCTCTTGACCAGTGTCTACACCCTAAATTTTGTTAGTCACTCAACAGTGAATCCCACCCAGATATTTTACTCAGACACAGCTGCTGTCTGACTAAGTTTTGCCAAAAAAAAAAAAACTTGATGTAGAACTTAAAGAAAGATTATACCTATGTTTTTGTGTATTAGACTTCCAAGGCTGAATTAAGGAGAGGGGACGGATAAACGGACTCTATACTAAAGTGTATACGTTTAGAAATACATGCCATTAACAGAGTAAAGCTTCAGAGTTTGAAATAAATCTGATCTGTTTATGGCTGAACTAATACATTAGTTTATCACATTTCTGATTTATGCAGAATCACATACACCAACACAAGGTCTGATGGATCAGTTTGCTCCTGTGTAAGGCCTAGATTAGATAATGCCATAAATGTTAGTTTGTGAGACTGATACATGGATTGAATTAAGAGCTAAAGTCTATTCCTCAGTTTATTTCATGTCTGTTGATTTGTTGCACATCTCTTTCTGTTTTCTGTATACCTCATTCTCTGTCACTCTGTCTTCTATCAGATACAGAAACATGTGACTACGGCTGGCATAAGTTTCAAGGCCACTGCTACAAGTACTTCCCTCAGAGGAAAAACTGGGACACAGCAGAGAGAGAATGCCGCATCAACGGGGCTCATCTCACAAGCATCCTGTCCCACGAGGAGCAACAATATGTCAACCGTAAGTTCACGACAGGTGTAAATAATTAACAATACTTTAGATTAATGTGATAAAGATGATACTTAATTTAAAAAAAAACCTAATTAATGGGAAATTTTCTCTCATAAAGCCAACTCAAGAACAAATACGTGTTTGGGTAGAGACTATGCAAGATAAGGGTTCGAGCAATGAAAACATCCACGTTATCTTGGGCTTTCTCTTGCTTTCTCTGACTTACCAGTCCTAAAATGGAAATAGGCCAACTGAGGAATGTAACTGGTTGTGTTTTACTTGGCAGGTCTTGGACAGGACTACCAGTGGATCGGCCTGAATGATAAGATGTATGACAACGACTTCCGCTGGACTGATGGTTGCCCTATGGTAAGACAGGATGCTTTCTTACATATTATCGACTCAACAAACATGGCACCGGAGCAGTGTAAATATGCGCAATGCTGTTGACAGATTTAGTCATTTAGGGAGGGTCTTTCCTTTCTGGGAGTCGCATTGCTGTTCTCATGACGCATTCTCCTCCGCCTCATGTCACTACACCCCGGTGACCGCTGTGGTAATAAATCTGATGGAGAACATGGTGTATTTCATTTTAACTCCTTTTAATGAGTATGAGCTCTGTGTAGAAAAACAAATAGCTTCCACAAAGCAAAAATAAATAAATTAATTAAAAGTTAGAGTTAATATTTGCTATAGTCCTTCTAGCTGCTGTCCACTAAACAGAAAAGAAACTAAATACAATATATAGTGTGCTTAAGATTTGCACACACTGACGTTCTTGCTTCAAAGATGCCCTTCCAGACCCAGAGAAAGGCAGGAAGCATTGAGCCAGCCTGGGGGGGTTAAAAGATAAGCACAGGCCTGGAGGCTGTTTCACTGCTGAAAGAATGAGGGGTGATGAAGGTGTGAGTGACACAGCGGAGAGGGGACTTTGTCAGGCGTAGACAGGTATGTTTCTTCTTTATCCCCCACACTCATGAGCAGGCCCAACCAACAGGCAACCACCCAGGGAAAAAGGCCACCAAAGCAGGCAGACACACAGATGGACAGCACCTGTGCTCAGCTGTAGAATGAGTAAAAAAAAAAAAAATACACTGGATTGAGGGTGCCCAGGGGGTCTGTGTGGGTGGTCACCTCTAGTGGACTTAAATGTAATAAATAAGACTGATTTTAAATAACTGTGAACTATTTACAACGGCAAAAGAAAAGACCAGTGATTAAATAATTACTATAGAGAATTGAAACACATAGGCTGGAAAATCTTCGGATGTGTGTTTAGGTGTGGGTGATCAAAGTTTGTTTGAATGTTCTGAGGAGGATGCAGACCTGCTGAGGAGTTGATGGGTCAGCCATTTGTTAACCTGAAGCAAGCTGAGCAGGAAGTCAGAGCATGTTTGTTAACCATAATGAGAGAGCAGCGGAGCCTCAAGGCATGATTGGTGGGGTGAGGGGGGTGGGGGTCTGTCACAGCTTTGAAGAAAGCTTTTGAACCTAGAATGTGCTGAAAGACTGCAGGTAGCACCGATGCCAGCTCGAATGCCTCGCAGCACTGCAGCTGTGTGTATGCTGTATTAATGTATGAACGTACATGTGCTGTTGTGGAATTTTGTTCCTGGAGATGTACAATCGTAACGCTTGACATGTCAGCTAATGATGAAAAGACATCACATACTAATGGTTGTCCGTTATCCCAAAACTCTGTTGTGTGAAAGACACATTAGTTGTTACACGGAATACCAGTCATGCCAAGTATGCGATACTGAATCAGGGGTGTAGACTGCACTGACTATAAAATCCAAGCTACTCTTATTTTTTGTGTAAATAGTAGGTTACTGTGACATTTACAGCAGGATAATGCAGATGGCTCCTCTCTGGACAAAGTTTATGAGCCCATTTTATAAACCTTTCATTTTTGCCCTTTGAGTCTGGTTTGCTCAGAATTGGCCTACATAAAGATACACTTTCTCCCTCTTGTGGACAGTAATTAGAATTGCAATTATGAAAAGGAAAAGGAAAAACAAAAGGATTTTGGCTTCACTTTTTTCTAGCGAGATATGTAGCAGGCACAATATTTGTAGTGATTTGGTAACCTTTACCGTACAAGTGCCTATTGGTATACACATTGCCCTAACAAGCAAAAAATGCTCAGTTCGATCTTGGGAGGAGACACTATTCCCTTTTGGCTTGTGTCAGGAAGGAAATTTGGTATAAAAATCTGCCAAATCAAATATGAAGAGCTACTGCTGCAGTGACCCTTCAACAGGAGTGTCTATAGATAATGTCTGTAAATAGTGTCTATTTTACTAATAAAAAAGCAAAGCTGTTAGGCTTAGAATGTAGTTTAATAACAGTAATGTTTTACTCTTGCCTGCTCTTATTTTAGCAATATGAAAACTGGAGGCCCAACCAGCCTGACAGCTTCTTCTCTGCTGGCGAGGACTGTGTGGTGATGATATGGCATGAGGATGGTCAGTGGAATGATGTTCCTTGCAACTACCACCTCACTTTCACCTGCAAGAAGGGCACAGGTAAAAAACAAACAAACAAAAAATCCACTTTTTAAAAATTTCTTAAGGTAAAAATGAAAACCCATAGTTCCTGTAAAATTCCTTATCAAATGCCTTTGTCTCGTCTGGTTTACAGTGGCCTGTAGTCAGCCTCCTGTGGTAGAGAATGCACGTTCCTTTGGGAAGACACGTGAACGGTATGAGATCAACTCGCTGGTGAGGTACCAGTGCCGTATAGGCTTTATTCAGAGACATGTCCCAACTATCCGTTGTCGTGGGAATGGACGATGGGATATCCCGAAAATCAGCTGCATGAACCGTAAGTGCACACTGTTGCTCTCAATAGATAGACATTACTCTGATATGTATGGAGTGCCAAAAGTGCCAAAACTGAAAAAAAAAAATATAACATTTAGTATGTTATTTATTCATTTAACATTTTTATGCTTGCATTTATTTATAAGTTGTTACTTTTTTGCATTTTGTCCCAGCCCTGAATATTTATCATATTTTCTTAATACATTGGCATTTAACTGCCCTCAGATGCCTATTAGGAGCAACCCTTATTTCTGAAGTGCATGGTTTTTGAATTTTCAAAATTTGTCATTAAATGTTTTCTTGTTGTCCAACGTTATCTTTATGGGTGAAAGAGTTAATGCTTAATTAATTCATAATTTGCTTTAAAACAGCTGTGGTTATGTTCTAAATAAATACTTTTCGTTTCGAGTTTTCATTGGCTAAAATATATTTTCCTGATCAGCCAACAACAAAATTTGACCTTCATTGTAATATTGAAGCACAGAGAACAACATATATTTTTGTGCATTTAATAAGATATAAACCTGTTTACTGAGTTTGCTACTCAGCATTAATCCAATGTGTAAGATTTTGACAAATAATTATAGTTTGAGAGCTAAAATGGGATTTTTTTCCCCCCCAACAGCCTCAAGCTATCAGAGGACCTTTATCAGAAGGCATCAGCACAATAGTCTCTACAGCATCCACAACTTCAATAACTGGCAAGATGAGTCCTTCCACTTTCGTCATCAGCTCCGACCAGGAAGGAGACACAAAATAGAACATAAGTGGAAATAACACGGCACACCTGAGACGAGAGCACGTGCCAGATGCTTGTTTGAAAAGAACAAAAAAAAAAAAAAAGCACATGAGAAAACTTATCAAAGAAAAAAAACAACAACCTGCAGTTTTTGTCAATGGAATCTTACAAAGTGCCTTTTATAGACATGTAGATACAAGACTTTTTCTTATCAAGGGGCACTATTTTATAATAATGCCAATGTGGATTAAAAAAAGTTTCAGCTGGCTACTGGAAAAGCAAAAACTACTCTTATCATACTTAAAAAAAAACACTAAAATCACCCTTTTTCATGATGGTTGTCTAGTCAATTTTAAAATCAACTGGGCTATTTAAAATCTATGCAAGTGTTCATTTTCTAATAGAAAGAAAGAGATTATACTGCTCATGTAAACATTAATATTGTGCTGTTTTAATTTGGGCTTCCTTTTTATTGCGCTTGCAAAGAACTCATATCGCATGAGTTAAACATTATGTTGCATACAAAGAGCTATAAACTTTCTTACATACAGATCTTTTCCCAGAATTTATAGCTCATTCTATAAAGGGGCAAATTATACCCTGACATGGTTTGACAGGTTTCCTGTATAGTAGTTATTCACATTCTAGATTAAAATATCACAAGTCTGGGGAAAGTTTTTCACTGATTGCTTGGTTATCAGCTTCTTTGTGATGGCAGCTTTTAGTATCAAATTATCACCTTTCATTCTCTCCTGCTGTCATCAGATATATGTCAGACTAAATGTTTATAAATAGATTTCTATAGATAGATTTTAAAAACTGTAACTGACATTTTCTTTTGTAGGAGACAGTTCAATATGAAAGATTGCTCTCTAAGTCCTATCGACAAAGCCTTTATCAACAGATGGAAATTGATGACTATCGTCTACTTCAAAAGGAAAGTGTAGCTCAAGAAGCCTCTATTTTCTGCTCAAATATGTTCATTGCATAGCCTTTAATTAGTCACAACAGCATGTTTACAATAACTTATATAACTAATGCTGTGCATAATCACACACCAAAGACTCTTGCTGTCATCTGTTGTGGGGTAGCTTATATGTAAGTCTTTTTTTTTTCTCTTTTGGTATGATTTCTAAAAAAATTGTTTCTGTTATTGTGGTCAATTAAGATCAGTCATTGAGAGAATGTATTTTGTGAATCACTCAGAAAGACTTGAACGTAACAGCTGTTTAGGCAGAGATGCGTATAATTTATTTTCAAGCTGCTCTTGATTGCTTTACTTGTTTTACTGATGAAATATGATTCTGTCACTTGGGCCTCACGGGGATTCTTTTTAAATGTTTTTATTGTTTGTTCACCAGGACGCCGGCAACATTTGCATGCTAACAATCTAAAAGTAATTACTCAGCAATATGATCCATTTACATGCCTTCTTCTTTTTCTTTCTTCTTCTTTGTTTTTGTTTTTTTTTTCAACTTTAATGGCAACAGTGGACCAAAGAACTCAGAGACACACATCAGCAATAATCTGCATCGATTTTGTTCTGTAACATTAACAGACGTGAATTTTTTTTTAAGGAGAAATGTTGTTTTGTTGTCTGAGTATTTGTCTGTGTGTTTTAGCCTTGATGTGCACATAATATGATTTTATATTTATAAGTGTTTCTTTTTTTAAAGATTACTTTACAATGTGAATGGTTGGTACGTTTGTGAATTTAAAAAAAAACTGTTTTTTAGCTGTTGTTTTTCCTGCTTTAAATCACCAATGAAATAAAATAAAGATTATTTACTTACAAAATTAAATTTGTTGACCAGATTTTTTGCAGATCTTATTCAGATCTAATTAGTCCAGAGTTTGTCCTTCTTGTAATGTTTTGATAGTGTAGCAGTCTTATTACACTTTTCTTTATTATGATTAGAGTTTTTATTATATAGGAAATGTGCTGCAAAATTGCAGAAGCCAGGTAATGAAGTTGAACAAAATTTAAAACATGGGTCTTCTTGCACTAAAGCTAATTTAGGATGCAGTGTGCACTACAGTGATTTCCCCAGCAGGTAGTGCTATCAGCCTTACTCATGAACCGAAGATTTTTTCTGCTATCACGTTTCATTTTTTTTAGCACCCACACAACTCATGGACACTAAGCATATAATGATGAATTTAAACTTCATGTGAATCGCACTGTGTGGAAAATCATACCAGTATCCAATTTTTCAAAGTATTGCGGTGTCTTAAACATACATCACACACTTGTAGAAAAACCTATCAGACATGCTCTGCAAGCCCGTTGGTAGACAGTTGGTACATCCAGGGGAGAAGATAGGAAGTGGCAATGTGAATGTGAATTGTAGCAAACTAAAACTGGATTAGGGAAAAGTGATGCCATGCAGAAAAGGCTGATGCTTCAGTACTGTGAACCTGCATAAGGATACCCCACTGCTTTTCTCTTTTCTTTTTAGTGAATAGCATGAGTAAAAGTGGTCTTCTTGAAAAACATCTTGAGTCTACATGCTGGTGCATAAAGGATCCACATGAATTCCCTGTGTGGAAAATCAGAAGCTTTTTGACTACATTACCTTTCACTACTACTCCCACAGTGCCTGTTTATGCAGCAGTCACTTGGAGTTCACATTGTTGCTTACTAATAACACAAAGCACCATTACCTGAGTAACAGCATCAGGTTGGTCATTGTAATCTGTGTGCAAGCTAAGCTGCGTTTTTCTCTGTGAGTGCCAACTCTGTCGTTAGAGGAGACGTGACTTGTGATTAATGGCTGCTCCTGGATGAAATCCTGCCTCACGAAGTGCAGATGTCTCAAAAACCCCTAGGCCTGAGTTTCACTGGGATTTAACAGAAGTTCTAGATTTATTTTGGAAATGAAATGCTCCCAAGCTCTTACTGACTTCTTCAGCTTAGCAGGCACCTTAGAATAAAGTGTACCATTCACTTAATGCCATGATGTTTGGGTTTTTTTTATTTTCCATACATGCATATCTGTAATTCTGTCAAGCATCTGGAATGTAGCTAGACTAGTGCACTGCACTGGACTGCTTGAAGTCAACAGACTGCTCATTGATTTGACTGGCTGCCTAAACACACAGAGGCCCAAAGAACAGCTCACTTGATGCCAGCTGTTTAAATACATGCATATAGTCTTTTGTATAATACAAGTGCAAAAATCTATAGTTTATGTACACAGTTTATTCCTCAAAAATATCTGCTGTTGCTTTTAGCTGCATTATCCAAAAAAAGTTACCTAAGATGGATCGCACACATTTACATTTGTCTAGCATTTCCCTGCTGTATCCACCTAAATCTGACCCTGTTCCCAGAGATTCCCACAAGCCTCTTAAAGACTGTGCTACTGTTCCCTTTGTCTGACTTAGTGGTGGGTTGGCAGCCTGGCACTGAAGATAAAAATGGCAAAGAATAAATGAATGTGGGGAGAGTCTAATCTTAAGTCCTTTCAGTTGACATGGCTTTACGCCAAATTCATGGCCTCCAATTTGGCAACTTAAACAATCCCATTTAGGTCCCTGCTTAAACTTCAACAACTCCACATGCTGCATGATTTTGCTCCAGTAAAATAAGAAGGAATGCAATTTTTAAAAAAGGAATATATGATTCAAAATGGATTTAAGAGTTGTGTTCTTTATTTCAAACAGCTTCATTTGAAAAGGTACAAGGTGCTAAGATACAAAATGTTTTTTCCTTGACAACTTGAGTTTTATTATTACAAACAATGCATCACCACATTATTGCATGTGTTCTACAGTGAGTGCCATATCTCTGTATCTCTAGAAAAGTTTTGTTGCACCTCTAATTACCATCTGTGAGTGTGATTGATCATCAAAATATGAATTGAAATTTTGCAGCTCATAGCAGCTCATAGCCACAATATGAAGATGTGCAACTCCATCAGTGGTCATGTGCAACCACACATTTAATAGTCATATATTAACTGCTGTAACATTAGATTTCTTCTAGGAAATGCCACTCGTGTGTTGGGACAAATCACATCTTCAGTTTAACTTCTCCGCTAAAATCCTACTAGTGTTAGAAACTTAATCTGTAGTTTTTCTTGAAAAGCACATTATGCACATGTAAAAAAACAAACAAACAAACAAACAAAAAACTATCAGTAACCCATCATTAAAAAGTAAAAACCTTTTGTTAGGACAAAAGAATACATTGCATTAGATTATAGTGGTCTTTCCGACTGTAACTGGAAATTGTGGTAATTGAAGCTTTCACAGCAAAAAGAGTTGTAGACCAAAACGTTTACCTTCATTTTCTTTGCAAATATTTTGATCACAACTATTCTGTCTGAAAAGCTTTTTTTAAATTTTTTAGTTTCAGAAGCTAAAAGCAAACAACATGCAAATGATCACTTTGTGCAGGGTAACAAGTACCCATAGCAGTTTGTAATAAATTTAACGTAATTCCCAAATGCCGAACTCGATAAAAATAAAATGTCACGCTTTTCTGTTCTTGCAGACTTTAAAGCAGCACATGTCAACTGCACGTGTGCATATTTGCACTACATTTGGAACTTCACAAATCCAATCATGTTTTGCAAGACACAAACTGTAGTCAGATTATGCTAACCATTTACTTCTCTGTCTCTGTTTCATCAGTCACATTTTGACAAAATAGACCTTTACTTAATACTCTGTGTAAAACCAATGAAAGCCACCTATAGGAAAATGCAAAACATAATAGCTACAGGTCATTTTTTTAATTCTTAGGAGGGTATAAGATGTATGCATGTATGTATATATATGTATTTTTAGGGTTATCACAGCTTTAGAAAGGTACTGGGTTCATGCTAGATTAGATCAAAAGCTTATCTGCTTCATTGTTTATTTTACTGGTTGTGGCTTTTGCTGCTCTTTGGTGGTCATGGCTTATTTAGACCTATCTAACCCATCACTGATCAGGCTTGTAGCAATACACGCCATAAGACTTCACTGTCTTGTCGGGAAACCCAACAAAGCGCACTGCTTCTTCTGTGGGGCTGCAGTTCTTCCGCGGCCTGGAGATGGGGTACCGGACACTTCCATCAGCCAGCCAGCCGGCATCACAGCGATCATAGCCTTCAAGCTTCCAGGCAGCAAACATGTGGCCCACCTTGGCAATCTCTGCACCGTCATCTCTGCATGCCTCCACAGCCTCATCGAAGGTCAGCCTTTCAGGCTGGACCAGCCAATAGAAATGACCTGACAGCAGATAAGGCAAACAAGACAGAATAATTCAAGCAGATGTGCTACTATATAAATGTACTAGTCTTTGTGGTCACTGCGTTTCATGTACAAAGACATTTTTATTAACTGACCTTTGAGTGCAGTAGTATAGCAGAACACATCAAATTGCCTAATCTTCTCTTGGCGTCCATAGGTTCTGAGGCCAGGCTCATTGTTGGAGCCACCACAAGGATGTCTGGGTTTGGTGATAGGATACTGCACTGTGCCGTCACTTAACCATCCAGCGTTGCACCAATCCAAACCGCCTTTCCACGCAGCAAGCAGCTGTTCATGTGAGGCAATCACAGCTTCCTGGTCCTCACAGGCTTGCACGGCATTGTTGAAGTTCAGGTTGTATCGGCCCAAAGGAGGGTAGTATGGGAACACGACACCTGAACGAAGTAGATCAGATGAAAATATGAGGAAGAAAGCAAATGTTGTCTCTCTTGGTTTTTCTCTCTTGAATATACATATATATGTATATAGTACAATCCCGTTCAGGGGGGGATACGTTCGTGATGTTGCATGGTAACAAGCGTATACCATTTTTTTATTTTTATGAAATTGAATATATTATTAAATGAATTTCAAAAAAGTGTAAGTATGGAAATAGTAACAAAACAAAATAACAAAACAAAATAACAAAACAAAATAAAACAGGATTTACCAGTCATCAGACCAGCATGCACCTCCAAGATAACCTCTTGCAGTGAATCTTCAATCCCGTTGTCGATGTCACAGTGATATTTTCCCTTGTCGTCCATGGAGACTTCAGTCATTATTAAAGAGGCATCTTCACTGTCGAGGTTCTGCAAGAAGACACGGCCCTCAAAGCTCTCATAGGCCCTTATGTGTGGTCCCATTTTAACCAGCACATCCTCGTTCAGAGCTTCATCATCTTCCACCTTTGTCCATTTTATCCGGTGTCCGTTGTTGCCAAAGGACACCGTGTCTGAGGACAAGATCCTGCAAGGCAGGGTGATGTTGCCACCTAGTTCAGCAGAAACCTTGACTAGAAAAGAAGAAATATGATATAACCTTTCTGCTCTTGTTTAGAATTATGATACTTGGATAAAAAAACCAAAACCAAAAACCCTTTGTATAACATTTTTATGTAATGATTTTCAATGCAAAAAAGGGGGGAAAAAATTGTAGAAACACTTTTTTAAACTTCTCCTTGTTGCCTTTTTTTTGTTTGCCTTGTTAATGAAACAGCTACGTATTTTGGCATGTCTATAATGTTTGTATTATTGTAATATACAATACACAGTGTGACATCTGAAGCATTACATCACACAAAGCCAGTGAAGAGTCTGGAGTCTGTTTGGTTTATTAAATGTAATATTGGGCATCGGCCAGTCCTCAGCCCTGAAAGCCAATAATCCTTTTTCAGTCTCCTTCCTGCTGTTGTCAGTACTTGCACTTATAAGCCGTTGGTTCCTCAGCATTAACCCACAAAATGAAGTGCTTTTCTTTCATCCACTACAT